AAAAAAAAAGTCCTAGATTAGCATATTGGTTTATATTTTTTGTATATATTTTTATTATAAAGATACTGTATAGAGGGGTTATAGTTACATGAATAAGATAACGCGTACATTTCTTATCGAGCCTTGTTACCTCCTCCTTTGTTTTTCCCCTACCATCCCTTCCCTCTCCAGCTCCCCAGCTCCTCCCAACTCCCCCCAGCCCCAAGTTGTAAAGTTCGTTTTCAACACACTGTCTTTTACATCTCATTGTTAGAATGGGTCAACCTGTATCTTTATTTCAGCATTTTGTTATTTCCCTTTGCCTCCCCAAATTAGAAAAATGTATCTACAAGATGCAAAGCACTGGAATCAAATACAGTGACAACAGGGGTTATACTGTGGGGGAAGGACATTCAAAGAAACAAAAAAGTCACATAGTACATTATAAATATATTACAAACAAAAACAAGAAAGAAAAAACCACTTGTGTCCCTATCTTGGGGTTCATTTCACTTAACATCACCTTATATGGTCATATGTACATAGCTTTTGACCTTTTCTACTTGACCTAGACATATACTAGTTATTGCAAATAAGGGAAATCATGGGGCCCATGTTTCTTTGGGCCTGGCTTTTTTCACTTATAAAATTTTTTTCCAAGCCTTTCCATTTCCTAACAAATGGGGACGATGCCATTCTTTCTTATGGAGGCATAGAATTCCATTGTGTACATATATATATATATATATATATATTTCACATTTTGTTGATCCATTCATTTACTGCAGAGCATCTGGGTTGGTTCCATATCTAAGCTATGGTAAGTAATGCTGTGATAAACATAGTTGTGCTGGTAGCTTTAGTGGCCATTTGGGTAAATACTCAAAAGTGGAATTGCTGGGTCATAGGGGAGCTCTTTGTGAAATCTTTTGAGGAACCTCCATACTGCTTTCCAAATTGGTTGAACAAGTTTATTCTTCCACCAACAATGCAGTAGAATTCCCTTTAGGCCACATCCCCTCCAGCATCTATTGTTATTAGGCGGTATCTCAATGTTGTTTCGATTTGCATTTCTTTTATGGCTAGGGAAGTTGAGCATTTCTTCATGTGTCTATTGGCCATCCTTCTTTCCTCTTCAGAGAAGTTTCTCTTTAAGTCTTTAGCCCACTTATTTATTGGG